AGTTGTGGAAGAAAAGAGCGATATAGCATCTGAGATTATAAAAAACATAAATAACTTTTTATTATAGGAATATTGGAATGCCTGTTTCTCCATTGTTTCCACCGGGGACGGGAAATGCTGAAGCAAACCTGATGGTAATTATGAGAGCACCTACAACTGTACAAGAAGTTGCAGTTTCTTTCATCCATCTTTCTTCTTCTTGCACCAATTCCTTATGGTTCTTGGTAAACAGATCATGTGGTGTCATATTCTCGTCATTAAACGATTCTATAATCCAGGGTAATAAAATAGTTTCCACCTCCTACATTTTTGTTGAACAAAAGATTCATATAAGGTTATTATACTCTATTTATCCCACCAACGCTTGACTCTGAGAAATTTGAGAGACCATATAAATCCGAACCGTTAGAGAACAGAGGTAACAAGAACAGTAGAAAACTTTTATGCTGACCATAAAGTAACTAAATAAGACATCTTAATCCTACCTTTATCTCAATTTGTCTGTTTTTTTTTCCCAAAGTTGGAAGATTCAAATTTCTTTTGATTCTGGTTTTGTAGTTTCTATTAAAGTAACTACATAAGAAACCAAAAACTATACTGTCAATACATGAAATGACTCATTTTAGCCCAAACAATTTATGTTCATTTATGTTACAATTTGTATAAGTTGAAAAAAGTGTAAATTGATATAGACTTTCTTTATATTTGTTTAATAAAAAAGTGTATCTGTCTATATGCGGATGCAATGGATTGTAACTACTACAATTATGTTAAATTACGACACCCAATAGACAACCGTTTATATAAAAACTGTCGTGATGTTTTAATAGACGACGAGTGTTATAATACCATCGTGGTAGGGTGCCTAATACACTGACGCGTTGGGTTAATTTTTAAAATTATGACAATAGCTTATTAGGACCGTCAGGAGGCGCTAAAAAACATTGAACTTTTAAGTTCGCGAGCGCAAAGCTTTTCAGAAAACCCACGCTCTCTCAAACATCGGACTATATCACGACCTTTCAGAAAACCCTTTCTCACATCTATGAAGCAAATCTCCCTCGCAGCCGTCCACCGAACTTGCCTTGATCGCCATCTCCGTCGCACCGTTTAGGTCACCGAGCTTGCCGCGTTCGCCATCGCCCTCGCGCTGCTCATGGAAGCTACCCTTCTTCATCGCGACCATTTTTAAGCCCCCATCTGGATTCCCATCTTCCATTTCATAAGCTTTAGATTAGATCTTCTTCCTCATGGGCGAGAAAGGTACGGAGCTACTTTTCTAGGAGTTAGCTTAGGCTTCTTCTGATTTGTTGTCTAAAAATTCGATGCAGATTTTCATGATTTTTCGTTTGCAGCGAGGATATTTTGAATCCTTTAGTTCCCATGGCTCTCAGACTCTCCGAGGTTCTCATGGGTAGCCAAACTCTCTCTCTCTCTCTCTCTCTCTCTCTCTATGTATTCTCTTCGTGTTGTATGTGCGGCTGCAGTCATTGGGTTGCTGGTGTTGGTCATTATCAAAAGGGCAGGGCAGGGCAGAGGAACAGAGAAGATAAATTTGACAGATCCATGGTTGAGAAAATTTCCGCTCAAAGCTCCCCAAAGCCGAACATCGATGCAAGTAAGGCCCTCCTTGTTTCCTTATTTCCTTTGAAAGTCTCTGATTTTAATGACAAAAAAAACACAGAAAACGAAGATGCCTGCTTTATGGTTTTTAGTTCGTGAAGCATTGAAGCTGATTATATTGATTTGGAATTTTCAGGGCGTGTGCCCCAGATGATGCAACAAACACTTTCGATGCCAAGAATTTGATGGGAGAAGAATCTCAGGGACTGGTATTAACATTGAATTTGTGCTGTTTGTTGGCTTTGACTGCATTATTTGATGGAGCCAACATTATTGTTCGTCAACTTGATAGCATTATTTATGTGCAATATTTACATTACAGTTCTACAAAGGCTGTCTCAGAGATGGTTTACCGGTACAAGTGAAATATATGAAATTAAAGTAGAAGCAGTTGCCCCAAAACTTGAACTAGAGCTTGGAAGCCTTGTCAAAGCTGAGGCATAGGCATTTGGTCAGCCTTCTTGGACACTGTACTGTCACTTATCAGGACCATCTAACTGCAGCTAGCACAGTATTTATTGTTTTTTAGAACATCTCAAATGGCTCTTTGGTGGACCATCTCATTAGTAAAGCTTAAACTAGAAGCAATTATCAGATCATCAAGAAAAAGGTTAATTAAAATACTCAAAGCAATTCTAATACACTGTAGTTTGGCAGATTGGAGAAAGGAGTGGCTGAAATAGCCACAGAGAATGGCTGTTACCATATATATGTATGTTTCTTTAGAAGAATTAAAGGAATCTTTGGTTTTTGAGTTCAGTATAGCTGCTCTTGGTATGGGTTATAGGTTTGGATTTAGTTATTGATTATAGATAATTGGAATAGTTCAGTTAAACCTCTTCTCTTTCTTTGGCTCTGCTTTTTATCCCTGTTGTTATTTTCAGAAATACTTTGTTTATGGTTATCTTTTCTCAAGGCTCACACAAGATGCACTGTGCATGGACAAAAACAAGAAGATTGCTGAAGTAAGATTTGCGTTTGTCGAGTTTGATGTTAATTTTGCAAGTCTTGTAGAAGGGCTTGCTGTTGCTGATATTGTTACTGGGAAGGGGAATACAACAACTTGGAAAATGTGCAAGAAGACAGAGCTATGTCAACCCAAGAACAAATTGATAAAGTTGAGAATTTGTGAGCTCCTTTATTTTTAATTATTGATAAGAAGTATATGTGTAATAGAATAAAGATTGATTGACTATGTATTAACTATTGAATCTTCAAGTTTTATGAAAGAAATAAATTTTGAGTGTATATATTTGTTAATAAAGCATTATAATTCGTTTTGTAGTTACAATCATTGTATAGAATCATAGGAAACAAAAAACTAAAACGTAATAGGTTGAGAACTTATTAGACAACATATTTAAAGATAATTAATGACCGTTTTGAAAAATTTCACCGGAGTCATTTTTGTTTATTGCTGCTGGTTTATATGAAGTTAAAGATTCCTGAAGGAACATGAAATGGGTTGTTAACAACCTGACATTGGTATTCGTAATTACAAACGATTATGAAATTTTTTTAAAAAAAATTTCTTTTTCAGAGTGCAATGATAGTTGTTTTTATCCAACATTATTCAGGTCCTTTTCTATTTAATGGCACCAATGCTAACCATTACAGCAGTAGGTTCCACCTGTAAACAATGTCAATTTGTTATGAATATGTGTTTCTCAGGTAATAATTTGCAGAGTTCTACAGATCTGTCGACATCTGGAGAGGCAAGTGAAACAACCCCGACAAAAACAAAGAAACTTTTCGTTACTGGTATGTTGCAACTTTTATTCTGATGTGAAACATTGATGTTCTTTTATTTACATATAATTGCTTGCTTGTTAATCTGATTCTTTGGAAGCCTAATATTTTCAAATAGACAATCAAAAATACCCCTGTAATGCTAACTATGTTTTAACTCTTTACTAGAGTTATCCGTTTTAATTTTTCAAAAGATCTCGATATTCTTCAATATGTGTAGCTTCTTTTTCCCTCTCATTGCATATTCACTTGAAATTGCTAAGAAGATTTTAGTTTCTGAACAGGCCTATCATTTTATACATCTGAGAAAACCCTCCGAGCAGCATTTGAAGGCTTTGGTGAGCTTGTTGAAGGTACTGCACCTTTTTTTTAAGCATAAAATGGGGTTTTCAATTTGATGGCAGTATATGCTCATTCTAATTAAATGTTTGCCTCAACAGTTAAAATAATGATGGACAAAATTTCTAAACGGTCCAAAGGTTATGCATTCATAGAATACACCACGGAGGAAGCTGCTAGTGCAGCACTCAGAGAGATGAATGGCAAGGCAAGTTTCAACATGCTTTTCATTTTTATAAACTGATTCAAATAAATCAAACACGTAGGCGTAGTCTTTCTTGTCTTTGGTTTACATGTTTTACATGTTTATAAAACAGATCCAACACTCTGAAGAGGAAAGCTTAGCCTATTTTTTGTTGATGATTCTTGCAGATCATTAATGGCTGGATGATAGTTGTTGATGTTGCTAAGACTAGCCCTCCAAGATACAGCAGGGGTCAGAGCAGATCAGCAACCAGATGAAGGAGAGACATTTGTCACTAAGAATTGAATTATTTTGTGGCCAGCATCCTAAATATTGACATTGAGTTCATATAAGGAACTTTGTCAGTACCACAATATTTTTGCATCTTCAAAGAACTGACCTACATATTTTCTGCTGCAATGTTAAGAGCCCATGGGTAGAACTTGCTCCTAAAAAAGGCTAGTAAGGAAGTGTGTGCTCTTAAACCATCCTAAAGATCCGCTATTTTTCGGTTATTTTTCCAAAGTGAGATCTCGAGTCCTAAAATGCAGCACAGTGGGGTTCAGCTGTTGGCTCCTTGTGCCCTTTCCCTTCTAAAATATGGCCCAAGAGGCCACCACAAGCTGCATAGTGATCTCATTTTTCCTCCCATTTGGGGCCTGGATAACGATGTAAGGCTCCAGGCAGGCCCTCACAGAATGCAGGCCAATACATCGAGAGTCAAACTTGGTAGTTGACTATTTAAGGACCAGAGTCATTGGTTTAAAAGTTTAAGGACTCAAATGTAGACTTTTGAAAAATTCAGGGACCATTCATGATACAAACTCTAAATGTGGTGACTTCAAAGGCAAGTTTCAACATGCTTTTCATTTTTATAAACTGATTCAAATAAATCAAACACGTAGGCGTAGTCTTTCTTGTCTTTGGTTTACATGTTTTACGTGTTTATAAAACAGATCCAACACTCTGAAGAGGAAAGCTTAGCCTATTTTTTGTTGATGATTCTTGCAGATCATTAATAGCTGGATGATAGTTGTTGAAGTTGCCAAGACTAGCCCTCCATGATACAGCAGGGCTCAGAGCAGACCAGCAACCAGATGAAAGACTGCCAGTTTCTTCCACCCACAATATCACTTCATATCATATAGTTCTTTATTTTTCAACACATCCGAAATCTCTGCTTTTAAATGGAGAAGCAAACAGCCATAGCCTCTTCTTGTCTCTTCCTTTTATACATCGCCACGTTTACAGGTTAGTGCTACAAAAACAAATATACATGTTCTTGATAATCATATATTAATTGTAGCCACAAATTATTATTTAGACAAAGAAAAATGTATTTATATTGTCATATTTACTCTTTGTCCCTTATTGCCTCTGATATATAATGGTAGAAGTTCTTGAAGCACATCATCACCATCATCGTCATAATCGTCATGGTTCTATGAAGCTTTTTGTTTTCGGGGATTCGTATGCTAATACTGGAAAATTCGTGTCTGCTTCATGGAAGGAACCTTATGGCATCAATTTTCCGGGAAAGCCAACTGGTCGATTTTCAGATGGTTTCGTGCTTACCAATTATATAGGTTCCTTTTCTTTCTCTCTTAAGAGTATTTTCCTCAGTCCAAAAATATATGTTAGATTATGAGTGTATGTTTGCCTCTATAGTTGAATTTTACTTTTTCTAGTATGTTTACATGTGAAATATTTGACAAGAAATTACTCTTCATAAATTATTTAAACATGGACAATCAAATATATATTATATAATTATTTTTAGGTCTATTTATTTGGAAAAATAAATTAAACCGTAACATGCATAAAATAAATTTTATAAAGTTAAAAAAAAAAACACAAAAAAGAATTTAGACAAGAAAATCAAATATATATCTTTGAATTTACGTATTCACCACTAGAGCAAAAACTATATTTACACCATTCGGAGATGTAAAGTGAATGCTAAAGTGGCTTTACACTCTCGAAAATACACCCCAAACTGTGTATGTTCTTACTACTAGATTGGGATTGAGAGTGCATGATTTGTTCTATATTTTAATTTGTAATTGCATTATTGTTTGTTCAAACCAAATTCTAAAAACAAAAAGAAAACAAGAAAAAAACCAATATTTTATTTTATTTTTATTTTGTTTTATGAAATGCCTCTCTGAGATGTTGCAATGTATTGCAGCTTCCTTTTTGGGCGTAGGCTCTCCAGTGCCTTACACATTGAGAAAATTTGTGAAGAAATCAAAACTAGAGTCTGGGATGAACTTTGCATATGGAGGGACAGGTGTTTTTGATACAGTGTTTGGTGGACCAAACTTGACCACCCAAATCGACTTTTTCCAACAGCTGCTTGAACAAAAACTCTATGGTACCAAAAACGACGTCGTTAACTCGTCCATTGCTCTCGTATCAGTTGCGGCGGGTAACGACTACGCTGCTTATTTTGGCAACCACACTGAGGTAAGTGGTTAGGCTAACTCTATCTGTTTGTTGACATGCATGCAATGTAGGCAAGTGGGAAAGCTTTTGTTTTTTCTTTAATAATTTAAGTGAGACATGTGTACAACACATGATTTTCCTTAATAGATTCTGTAACAGAGTTAACATATGGAGCCAAATCATGGATTTTAAAAATACAAATTTATAAATAAACCCAATACTAGACATGTATTTATAAAAAAATTCAAGCACTATTTAAACATAGAAACGCACCCAAAATCAACCCCAAAGTCAACTTTTTGGGTGTGTTTATAAATGGGTTTTGAGTGTGTGTAATGATGAGTTTTGAGTGTGTTTATATGTTTAAATAGTGCTTGGGTTTTTTTATAATTTCAACCCCCATTTTGGGTGTTTTAGTGAAACTCCCTTTTAAAAAATCGAGATGACATCTCTTAAGTTTTTCTTTAATGTAAAAAAATGAAAAATAACGTATGAGTTCATGTGATATTTCTAAAATTTTACTTAACTATTATTATACCGCGTAAGTATCGTATGTTCCTTGTCAATAATAACCAGATGTCATTGATAACATGGGCATTCATAGAGCGTTGGAACGCTTAAAGAAAACTCATATAACCATTGTTCTCAAATGTTTTTGAACTATGATATATCATTTTAGGGTTCATAGCATGGCCACAAATATACATTATACATACATGATATATTGCATTGTGAGGTGACTTGATGCTAACTTGATGGCACTCGTATCTTCCAAATGACAGGATTTCGCAGCGGCCACCAAATCTATTATTAAGCAGCTTGCTGTGGATATAGAGCGTATACATGGGTTGGGAGTGAGAAAAATAGCTGTTACAGCACTAGGGCCCCTGGGATGTCTGCCCCGCATGACTTCATTTCTTTCATATCAGAATTGTAGTGAAGTTGCCAATTTGGTTTCAATTTTCCATAACCAGATTTTGCGTCAAAAAGTTGAAGAGTTGAACAAGGAGACTAAGAAATCTTCATTTGTAATCTTGGATCTTTATAACGCATCTCTGTCTGCAATTATGCTCCCAAAACACCATCAAGGTAATTAATTAATTAACTCTTTGTAATGAACTGTAATTTTGTCCTTTCTACTAGTATTACTTTCGGATATGTCACATTTATTCATCACCTTATTCACCACTTTTCTAATAGAGGTTGGTACCGCTTATGTGGATCCCCCTTATCTGTATGTAAGGTGGTCAAGAAATGTGAACTCATGTACTACTTGAACTCGTTTTCGGATAGCAGGATACTCGACACTCCAGATTAATCCACTGAAGCCGTGTTGTGTTGGGGTGAGCAAGGAATACCCATGTGGGAGTGTGGATGAGAGTGGAGCAAAGAAGTACATTGTATGTGATAAGCCCAAACTTTCTTTCTTTTGGGACACGATTCACCCTTCGCAGAATGGCTGGCATGAAGTTTATTCCGCTATAAAATCTTCTCTTCGTCAATTGTATTTGTGATTTATTGTGTAGTTTAAATATTGGCCCTAGAGGGTTGGTTTACCCAATATATCATAATGATATAAAAGATAAGATATGAAGTTATCTATATAAAACCTTAATTAGCATCCACGCTTAATAAATATGCATTCGCATATCTTCTTTGTGTATTAAAAAAAAAAATTAATTTGAAAACACATCCACAACAAGCTACAGTGACAGGCAGAGTCGGACTTGGGGGTGGGCGAGAGGGGCCTTGGCCATGGGCCTCCAATTAAGGGGCCCCACATTTATATATATATATATATATACTATTGTCCAATTTATTATTATAATAATAAAAAACAGAAACAACACGCGATTAAATTAGGTTCCTTCGTTTCCTCTTCCCAAAAGATTTTTTCTTTTCCCATGCAGAAACAGAAACAACATGTGCTTGAGGAAGACGATTCCTCTCCTAGTTAGTTTCTCCATGGAAGAACTCTATTTAATCCACCCATCTCATAATAATCCA